CGATGATGACGATGATTCGATCTTGGGTAAAGCCGACGATGAAGAAGCTAAGGAGGACGATCAGCATCTGTCACCAGACGATATTAAACGCCAGGGGGAACTGGCCGAGGGCGTTCGCAAGATCAAGGCAAGTGAAACCCAAGGCTTTTACCTTAAATTGCGCTAACGGAAATACAGCTCAAACGCCAGCACTCGTCAGCATCTTTGGGCACTAGTACCCCCAAAACGGATACTGCTAGCCCCCAGCCATCAGGAGAGACTCCTGCAGCATCCAGTATCTCAACCACCCCTCCAACTGCACCAGCAGTCCTTGCCGGTATACCCGAGGTCCCCAAGCCTGCGGCAAATAATCTGAACGGAGAGTTCGTGGGAAGCCCATTGAAGAAACAAAGAGCCAGTGTATCCCAAGCGGACGAGAACGCTCTGCGACGGAGAATCGAATCGGGGTTGTCTCAACCCATCAGCGGAGCTTTGGATAGTGCCGCTTCCGAGGGGCCTCAAACTACAGGGGCGAGTTCCAATTCCTTTGGGGCTGAGCCTCAGAAATCAGCCCCACAGGAGAATGAGGATGAAGAGCTGTGAAGAAGCTATTTCGGTGACATATTATTGGCTATATGAACTTATTGGGTTCAATATGTCTCAATTGGTGCTCGATCAAGAGTTCCCTTGATGACCTCGTCGGAACGCTAACTTGACAATCTTCGATAATCTATATCCTGAGTTTTATTTGTTTTTGGCTGGCACGCATGCAAACTATGTGAACAACGTTTCTTCTCTTTTTGTTGTTGTGTTTGGCTTTGGGGAAAATTTTCAAAAGATTATCCTGCTGACTATGATGGATTGGCGTAAGTGGACCAATCGATAGCCACCTGGTTGGTTCATCATCTTTTCTTTTTCTACCTGCTTTGGGACTTTCAATACTTCTTTTAACGTCTTGACGATGATAACGACGGTATGGAGACTATTCTGGACTGTGTGCATGAGTTGGCACTACCTTATGCTGGATGGTCCTAGGGCTTTTGCCCACGAGGATCTAGAATTCTTTACGTGATTTTTGGAAAAGGTCTGGGCTATAAGTTAATTGCTATAGAATAAATGGATTACGCAAGGTGCAAACATATGATTGATTGAATCTGAAGAAACCGTTGACCTACTCGGTAGGCTTTCTTTTTTCTTTTCTTTTTTTTTCGGTTTCTTTCTATCTTATCGTCCGGAGACTATTTAAATAATTTAACCCCCGCAACGTCAGAGGGAAACTTAGCGTCTCTACCCCCACCATTTTTTCAACTCACCCGAAAGACGCAGATGGACACAGGTCTCTGAACCAAAAAGCCTTATCCGTTTGTTCTTAGATTTCAAGTGAAGTTATAGCACTTTGCACACAAACACCGTCAACATGCCGTTGGCACGCTCATCCGATCCACTAGTGTGGATAGACTGCGAAGTACGCACCCTTCTCTTCGACTCTACCCCCACCTTTCCATATAGATGTGATACCTAATACACGCCTCAATTACACAAACAGATGACAGGCCTGGATTCCGAAAAGGACCAAATCATCCAGATTTGCTGCTTCATCACGGACGCCAACCTCCAACTCCTCGACTCCCACGGCTTTGAAACTGTCGTCCACGCCTCCAAGACCACCATGGACAACATGTCACAATGGTGTATCGACACTCATGGCCGTACGGGATTAACTGCCGCCGTCCTCGCCTCCACCGTTACACCTGAATCCGCTGCCTCCGAGCTACTGGCATACATTCAGCGATATGTGCCGCAGCCCCGCACGGCGCTGTTGGCGGGAAACAGCGTACATGCGGACAAGGCTTTCTTGTCGTGGGGTCCCTACGCGAAGGTCCTGGAATGGTTGCATTATCGGATCTTGGATGTGAGCACCTTTAAGGAGGCCGCGAGACGATGGGGTGCGGATGAGTTGTTGGCTACTGTGCCTAGGAAGAAGGAGGTGCATTTGGCGAAAGATGATATTCTGGAAAGTATTGAGGAGATGCGTTTCTATAAGGAGAGGCTGTTCGGGAGTGGAGTGAAATGAATGAGAGAGTTGATTAGACGGCTTTCTACTTAATCACTGCTACTATTGCGACTGCTGCAGTGTATGGACACCGACGCTTGGGTGGGTTGCGTTGATTTACTTTACCTGACAGAGCACACCCCCTCTCTAGAAGCAAGGCTATTGTCTTTCTAGCTAGCAACGCCATGGTCTATGTCAAGGGAGATATCGGACTGTCGCTGGGAACCTCCCGCTGTGACTGGGCTGGGTTCGTGGATTTGCCTAAGATGGGCTGCGAGCTTTCCTCACATCTTGTAAGAAAACAGCACCTGGTGCTAGAAATATTGCAGCCACGTCCAATCTTTCCCCCTTCGTTCGCATGCTCCAACACATCATTCAAGGATGAAACCTCTGCTCTACTCTGTCAATGTGGGGCCAGAAAGCAGTTACCACGAACATCCCTCCATGCATCCGATAATAAGTTGTTTTAATCGCTATCTTGATTCACAATCTTGATAGTGAAAATAATCACAGTCATGGTGAGGTGAGGGAGAAGATGGACATTGACGGCATCCGACAGCGGGGCATAGCCGTAAGTAGGCAATGCGCAAAGGTCTCAGTGTACTGGCCATACTAGCAACAGGGCTAAACAGGCGGCTATTGCTTTCATACTTGAGCTATTTGTTCACTCCGTACGGAGTACCCCCCTGCACTCTTAGGACTTGCCGAAGGGTCTAGATTTGATTTCATCCATAAGCAAAAAGTGATAAGAGGATGTGTCATGTGTCATCCTCACACCAATCCTCTGAGATCTTCCTGGACCGCCGACAGCAGATGCAGTGGAAGAGCCCGTCGATTGGTATGTTGGGGTTCGATGAGTTGTCCGTGTATGGTTCTGACGGGGTTAAGCGGCCCAATCATTCAGGGGGTCCGTCCGCGTCCCAAGGTTTAGAGCTGCAGCTATTTACATAGCTCCAATCAAAGTAGATTAAGAACTCCTCTAGAAACATGAGGTAAATCCGAGGGGTATTTTGACATTCTCTTCTTACTTTCGTCAAAGTGGATATTCGTGTAGAAAAGGGGGAGACTTTTAATAAATAAAATGTCTTAGAAATAGTTTCTATAATGGATCTATTTTTAAAATTTAGCTAATTGATTGTTTCTCGACGAGCTGAAGTCTTTTCCGCGTTCCATGGGTGTTGTCGCCGCCTTTGAGCCGGCGGCACTAGGGTGCCTGAGCCTTTCATACCACTCACTGATAGCTGACGAACACGCACCCACCTGTCGAAGATTATCCGACCTGGATTCGCTCTGGCTACTACGCTTTATGGAAGAATCAGATGCTAGAGGCGCTTTTTCCTTCTTTGTGGCGAACGCACAGGTATTGAATTCCTCCACTGTTCTGTCAAGAGCAGTTCATCTCTCTTTTCTCTTTGTAATAGCCCATCAAAGAAGGCGCTTTCGACTACTATCGGAATTGCGCTACGTATGTACTTGACAATCGTGGACTCGCGGTACAGGTAGTAATAGGTCTATCCATCCCAAAGGGACCAAAGCCTAGCAGATGCTACTATACCTGGCTTTTTCCTCTTAATCAAAGGCAAGCATTTATGTTTCAGATGTCCTTCATTGACTGAGTTATACATAGATCATGTTTGAATAAGCCCAATACAAGGGACAAGAATATCGCTTTGTTGGACTATACAGCCTTGTCATCTATTTAAAACGCTTGCCATGTTAGTAGCTACAGCGAGAACTAGAACTCTTTTCCAATATCGAAGCAAACTTCAGATTTTGTCTAGTTAGAACAAATCTACCTACACGGAACTTGAACACCCCGTTTTCCTTTGATCTATAGGCAAGTCACTACCAGTATCTATGTATCTACTGTATACAAGTCTTCTCCACTACCAATTGAAGAAGACGACTTCTACTTCCACTTCTCGTCTCACCTTTTACTCAATCATAACAGCCCGGCACATACCTTTATTCTACAGCAATAGTGCTACACCTACATTTAATACCATGGAGCCGATCAAGCCTAGCTCCACGCCGTATCCTGCTCCTAGAGCACCTCGATGAGCACCTGGTGCCTCCTGCAGCCCACACACATCTACTGATGATGGCTTCATAGAGGATTACTATCGTGCTGGTGGCCCAAACCTTTGCGAGTTTCCTCCTGTGTTTTGCAATCCCATCCAATGTGAAGATTTGCCTATGCGAGATGTTTTAGCTATCATGAAGAAGTGGAATATACCGGTAATAACTTTTTATCTTGGTGGTTTTAGACCACGATTCAACCTCTCAAAGGAGCCTGTGTCTACTATACGCCTCAGGGCGCCAAGAGAGTCCAAGGAACGCTGGTTGGGAGCTACCCGAGAGATATACCACTGTTTGTGTGGAAACGGCCTTGATTATTTTGCAATAGAGATCCTGGATCAATCTTTTGACCTTGGTGCCCATATCTGGCCATGAGAATCTGTGGGCAAGAGTGAATTGAATATATCAAGCATAAGAAAATTGATACGCTGACAATTTGAGTTGTTGAGTTGTTGAGATTTCTAAGGCTTTCATATCTTACTATACAGATGTAAGATGTAGTCTTTTAGTCAAATTGCTATCTACCTTTTGCGCACGCACTTAGACCCATTTGCCCCCACGCGCTGGGCCTCGATCCCTGGGCAAAAACAAGAGCGGCGTTAAGTGGGGCAGGAAGAGGGGCATTTGATTCAGGCCTGAGGTGTACATCCCATGAAATCATGCTGATGACGGCAGCGCGAGTGTCAACTTGCATGGTTTTAGCTTGAGTTGGTGCCCCTCTATTTATCTTCCTCTCTCTCTCTCTTTTTCCGAACCTTCCCCCAATTGTCGGTGAGCAGTCTCAATTCCTTATATAATATCCTCTTATCTTCTTCTTCTTCTTCTTTCTTTTCTTTTCTTTTCTTTCCTCTTTTGCTTTCTTCCTCCTCATAACATTATCCTTGTCACCATGTCCATCCAGACTGTCTCCTTCCAATCCTTTACTGACCAGAAGCCGGGAACGTATGTCTCTATCCATCTCTATCCTCTTCACGATCTTTGATATATTATAGAACCGTTGCTAACCTCTATAGCTCCGGTCTTCGTAAGAAGGTCAAGGTCTTCCAGCAGCCCAACTATTCCGAATCTTTCATCACCAGCATCCTTCTCTCCATCCCTGAAGGCGCTAAGGACGCCTTCCTCGTCATTGGTGGCGATGGCCGTTTCTATAACCCCGAGGCCATCCAGAAGATCGCTAAGATCAGTGCCGCCTATGGCGTCAAGAAACTCCTTGTCGGCCAGAACGGCATCTTGAGCACCCCCGCTGCCAGTAATCTTATCCGTGTACGGAAGGCCACCGGTGGCATTCTGTTGACTGCCAGCCACAACCCCGGTGGTAAGAACACCCTGGAGCTTTCTAGGTTCAGCAATTGTCCCAGCTAACTCTATGTAATAGGTCCTAATGCCGACTTTGGTATCAAGTACAACTTGTCCAACGGTGCCCCCGCCCCCGAGACAGTCACCAACAAGATCTACGAAACCTCCAAGACCCTCACCTCCTATAACTATGCTGAGATCCCAGAGATTGACCTTTCCAGCATTGGCTCCAAAACCTACGGCCCATTGGAGGTCGAGGTTGTTCACTCGACGACCGACTATGTCAAGATGATGAAGGAGATTTTCGACTTCGACCTGATCAAGGAGTTCCTCAGCACTCACAAGGACTTCAAGGTTCTGTTTGACGGCATGCACGGTGTCACCGGCCCCTACGGCGTCGATATCTTCGTCAACGAGCTGGGTCTGCCCAGCAGCAGCACCATGAACTGTGTCCCTAGCCCTGACTTCAACGGTGGTCACCCTGACCCCAACCTGGTCTATGCCCATGAGCTGGTTGAGGCCGTTGACAAGAACGGTATCCACTTCGGTGCCGCTAGCGATGGTGACGGTGACCGCAACATGATCTACGGTGCTAACACCTTTGTGTCCCCCGGTGACAGCTTGGCCATCATCTCCCACCACGCCAAGCTGATTCCCTACTTCCAGAAGCAGGGTGTTTACGGTTTGGCCCGCTCCATGCCCACCTCCGGTGCTGTTGACCTGGTTGCCAAGGCGCAGGGTTTGCAGAGCTACGAGGTGCCCACCGGCTGGAAATTCTTCTGCAACTTGTTCGACAACAAGAAGATCTCGATCTGCGGTGAGGAGAGCTTCGGTACTGGTAGCAACCATATCCGTGAGAAAGATGGTTTGTGGGCCATCGTCGCCTGGCTGAACATCATTGCTGGTGTGGCCAAGCAGAAGCCGGACCAGACCCCCAGCATCGCGTCCATCCAGAACGACTTCTGGCAGACCTATGGCCGTACTTTCTTCACCCGCTACGACTACGAGAACGTCGACAGCGATGGTGCCAACAAGGTTATTGCTATCCTTTCCGACAAGGTCGCCAACAAGGACAGCTTCGTTGGTTCTACCGTGTCCGGCCGCAAGGTCACCGATGTGGGCAACTTCTCCTACACCGATCTGGACGGCAGCGTATCCAAGAACCAGGGCCTATATGCTAAGTTCGATGATGGCAGCCGCATCATCGTCCGTTTGTCCGGCACCGGCAGCAGCGGTGCCACGATCCGTCTGTACATTGAGAAGTACGAGAGCGACAAGAGCAAGTTCGGCCTGACTGCGTCCGAGTACCTGAAGGACAACGTTGCTCTCGCCCTCTCTCTGCTCAACTTCAAGGAGTTCATCGGCCGCGAGGAGCCTGACGTCCGCACTTAAGTGACTATGATTTGATGTTTGTAAATATTGTGCCACAAGCGTGTGAGGTGCAGAGTTCTTTATGATGGGAAGAAACACAAACCATCCATGGACAGGTTTCATTTTTTAAGATAGTTAATTGCATAATCATAACTCATATTCCAGTCCATAACCGGTTCATCACTCTGCGCCATAACGTCATATCATATCCTTAACCACCTTCAGGATAACTCTGCTGTCATGACAACGACCAGAACCAATAACTTAATCACAAGCCGACCTCGTCCCCAGCGAATCTCGAAGCTTCCCCTCCCACCAATCCTTCCACCGAACCACTTTCTCCTCCCTCCTCGCCTCTTCCGCCGCGAACACAACCGCATGACTCCTCACCGCTTCCTCCAGTGTACAACCCACGAAGCACCTCTGCGCATGCTCAACGTCCCAACCCTGATTAACCACCGCATCCACGGCGCGGACAAAGCTCCTCGCCAGACCATAGTCGCCCCCACCATGAGACTCCTTTTCTTCTGGCGGCTGCCGCGGCACCTCGATAGACCGGGTCGACCGGGTCGAGAAGCTGTAAATATCAATATTCCGCGAATCGTAAGCAATTTCACCCTGGGTACCGTAAACACGACCTCGCCGTTCACACTGTTTTTCCGTCGGCGCGATCATATGGAATATGGCCGTTTTAGCAGTTCGGGGGTAATAGTCATTGATAGTTGTGTCGAAGCCAATCGGCTCGTCATCCCAGGTAAGAGTGACAACCTGGTCGTCGCAAACATTATTATCGGATTCGTAAACGCACCGACCGTACCAGGGTCTCGCGGCGATATCCTTATCTGCTGTTTCGGGAGAGTAATCTTCTTCCAGACGACGGAGGAGGTGGGCCTCTGCTGCTTTGATCTGTTCTTCCTCGGACAGAGAGGAGGAGCTCCGGACTACATCCTCGATATCTGGACAGACGATGTTGACAGGCCATTCGTAGTTGGCCCTTACGACGTGCATGTCACGGTAGATCTTGATGGCGCTGTAATTGCAGTTTCTCTCTGCGGAACAAGAGAGGCAGTTTGTTGCCGTGGCGGCGGCGCGGGGTTTTCTAGATTTGCGGAACTGGGTCAGGGAGCCGGAGGAGGAGATGGTGCGTGGGAGATGTGGTTGTTGGCACTTGAGGTATTCCTGCTGCTGTTGTGCGGAGAGGCTGGCGTCTGCGGGGAGTGGTGGCGGGGAACAAAGAAGCCAGAGGATAAAATCGAGGTCGTGGCAGGATTTGGTGAGCAGGGAGCCGTCGCCTTCGGGCGTTGCTCGTCGCCAGTTCCCGCGGACGTAGCTGTGTGCGAAGTGCCACCATCCAACTGGTTCGCAGTGTTCCATTGAAACGATGTCGCCGATGGCACGATCTTCGAGAAGGAGCTTTCGGAGGAGGATGTTGTGCGGACTGTATCGGAGGACGTGGCCTATGGAGAAAATGGTTGATGGGGAAGAGGAAGGTGACAAGCCCCCTTCATCCTTTGGTAGCAGGGCGCGGTATACTGTCAGGCAGTCGGATAGTGAGAGGGCAAGCGGCTTCTCGCACAAAATGTGAAGTTGTAAGGGGGCGATGGATTGTAGGATCTCAACGTGGGTTTCGTCCAGCGTGCAGATGAATACGCCGTCTACTCCACCGGTCGTATGATTCGTTCCGGTAGTCACAGTAGTACTACTCTGTGTTCGCCGCTTGATTTCCCATCGCAGCCAATCTCGCCAGTCTTCGAACTCCTGGCCGTCCTGTGGGGTACCGCTGTCACCCCAAATATAGTTGCGGCCAAATTCCCGTCGTTTGAAGGGATGTGGTTCAGCGATCGCGTGGATCATGCCTGAGGTGGCACTCGTGACGGCTCGGGCGTAAGCATTGCCTCGTGAACCAGCGCCGATGACAAGGAACCGAAGTGGTTTGGCGGAATGAGGGTGAGGGGAAGATAAGTAGAGATCGTGAGAAGTCGAGGGATTAGGATCGCCCATGATGATTATTATTATTAGTCAAATAAATGTGATTAGATACTAATTCCTGGATGTGAATATGGACATAGAGAAAGATATATTGAGTGAGGATGAGGGGAAGGGGGCATGTCGAGTATAATCAAGTCGATGGATATACTACGCCATGGAACCTTACATCGCAACCCTGCCATCTCAGGTCACGTATAAATAGCAGAGCCCTGGTTGGCCAGAGACCCGCCTTTAGGGTCGGGAATCATGCTTATCACCTCGAAGAGAGAAAGTAACTCCGTTCCGGACCCCCCAAAATAAAAATAAAATAAAAAAAAGCCTTATCGATAACGGTTGCGTACCTTAAGATTAGGTACAAATTACTGGATCCGGGGTTAGGAAATTATCCATTTGCCATTAAACGTTTCATGACCATTTCCCCCACAAGATTTCTCTAAAATACCACTCCACATAAATTATTGACATACGAGAAGGAAAAGAAAGTTTTCACAACAATCAGCAGGGGTTCAACAAGGAACAGTGAACTCAATTCGGGGTATCCATATAAGAAATAGAGAGTAAGAGTACAACAGGATCAGGAACATGCCAGCCTGAAAAGGCCCAGGGTTATTCCCGTTGCGAAGGTGACACGCCCTGAAGGGAAAGAAAGAAGTGCAAGCTCTCAGCGTATGTACAGAGCAAAGCTCTTATGATATATATCCAGACATCGAACAACGAAGGGGTGCTTGCAATGGCTAAAGGAAAGACAATAGCGAACAGGATCATATACTCTCGGTAAATCGGCTGCCGCGGCTACCATCAAAACTTGGATGACTTCGACCCAGTACATCCGGTCGCTTAGGTATGGTGGGAGACAATGCCCCCTGCGCCAGAGGCACGATGCGCGATACAGAAGGTTCGTTAGATAGACTGGCATTTGCGGAGCCAGGAATAGGTGTCCTGGCCGGCGAGGGCCGAAAAATCACTATGGGATTTGTTTCCTCGGCTTCCCTTGTATAACTCACGTCCAGCGGCATGCCATATGGGGTTGATGGAGGCGGTTGAGAGGTAGGTGAGCGGGGAAGGACCGGTGAACCTGGCGGGAAGCTCACACTTGGCTCCGATATAGTCGGCGATCCTTCCGAGAAACCACCACCATATCCATCTCCTCCTGACTGTAGCACGGAGGGTATCTTCCGGCCGGAAATCTTCTGGAAGCCACGCTCGCTGGTGCTTGAATCTAAGGTGCTTTCTGTATGAGTAGAGAGGCGCGATTGTCTCCAACGCTTCATAAACGCTGGCGCAAAGTATGAGGCCGTAAATAACGGATCATTGCTAGACCGCCGCGAAACCACATCAGCTGACCTTGTTACAGATCCTTCACCAACAGCAGTACCAGTCATATCACCGGGTGGAAGGACTTCAGGGGCACGATCTTGATATGCTCTCCGTTTCCGGAGAAGTAGAAAAACTAGGACTACCAAAACCATAGCACCAGCTACGCCACCCACTACACCGCCAGCAATTTTGCCCTTGGTTTGACTGTCGACAACGCCAGAGCCCTGGGAAGGAGAACTTGTCGCTGAAGTAGTCGGTCCAGTAGTCAAAGATGTCTGTTCGGTAGCTGTCGGCCCCGATCCTCCATCCCAGCCATATGAGGCGCCGCCTCCGGTGCCGGAGGGCAACGAAGTTATAGTAATCTCAGATGTGGTAGAGGTTGTAGCGGACGTAGAAGTTGAGGAAGTTGTCGTTGTGCTGGAAGATGAGCTTGAGCTGGAATTAGACGTAGACGAAGTTTGGCTGGAACTGGATGACGAAGAACTTGTTGTAGAGGAGACTATCGTGCTAGAAGTTGACTGAGGGGTCTCACTCGAGTTCATAGGCGAGAGAGGTATTTGGGAAGCGGAAGTGTCGGAAGCAGAAGATATCACAGGAAGAGAAGTAGGCGAAGTCGATGAATCATGACTCGTCGTCTCAGAGGGGGTATCAGTTGTGGGGGTAGGTGAAGCAGTAGAGGCAGTCAGGTTTTCTTCGGAAAAGGTAGTCGGAACAGCCGGTGAGCTTTGGTTAGGGGTGACTTCTGACGCTGTGGGCTCGCTAATACCAGTTGTCGCCGAGGGCGTTACTACTGCGGCATCAGGTGTAGTCTGAGGATTATCGGTAGCAGCTGCGGCTACCGTGACTTGCACTGAAATCTGGTCTTCCTGGGATATTGCGCCGTCCGTTTGGGGCTGCGACTCGTCCTGTGTTTGCCGCTTCATCCTGTCTCTCGAGTCGTTCACAACTGTCCCATAGCCTGACGGGAGCCCTCCGTCCGTACGTCCCGTGGCATCTGCAACAGCTGTTGATCTGTTGGTCCTCTTCATCAATCTGCTATACCGAGTGTGCCTATTGCCATGATGGGCCATCCTGGTTCGGCCTTGCTCCAAGCTGTAGGACTATGCTCTCAACTGAAACCACTGAGGAGGCTATTGAAGATTTAATATCAAGAAGTCTGACGTAATGGTAATCAACTCGAGACACCGTTGATGCGCAAGACCGAGCGCACGAGTTTTGAAGCTCCCCGCCGGAAGAATGTAAAATACGGTGCTTGCCAGTACGACACTAAGAATATCTGCGGGAAAAAAGCGAGTTTAGGAAAGAGCGCAAAGAATTGGAATACTGAGATTCGAATGAGCGAAGGCCGTGTTGGCTGCAGAATGATAAAGTCGGGATTTATCGAAAGAACGACTAGCGGTCACAATGATGGCTCAGGCTTGCCCAAGCGTAGAGCCCCCCACAAATAGCAGAGGTCTTTAAATTCGTATGAACCAAGGAGCGGACGTCAGCTGCACCGAAGAGCTGACAATTTCAATCGTAATGATGGGAAAACAATTTCGAAATGCATGGAAACCTGTCAAGAGGATCGATCAGATAACCATTAAGCCACCAAGACTGCTTAAAAATATGGATTGAATTGCTTTAACAGATAAGAGCAGATAACGAGAGAGTATCCGCAGGTCCCAGGATGATACCGAGTCCATTTGACATCTGAGCTCGTACATACCTGTAAAGAATGAATGAAAAGAAGCGAAAAGCAAAAAAAAAAAAGCAGGTGCAACTTTTTTGTTTTTGATCCGGATGTTGAGAGTACTCCAAGTTTTGAGAGCTCCTCCAGCTCTAATCCATAATTGCGGAAAGAATCGAATTGAAAGTTTTGACGGGGAAATGGACTGACAAGAGACTCATCAACGATGGGTACTTCGAGAATCTGATCGCCAAAATTATTTCCGTTTCGCTTTTTCTCTGGGTTGCGGGATCCACGTTGACACCGGACCCAGCCTTGTCTCTCGCTTGTTCCAAGCCGTTCCGTGGTAGTATGTCACCTCGCGCGGTCCGGTATTTCCACCATTCGATTCAATGGTTGTAGACTGCCCCCGAGGAAAGGTTCCGACCTCTACCGCCAAAGGATCAAGGGAAAAGAGGGGAAGAGGGGATTAGGGAAGGAGAAACGAGAAGGGAGAGAAAAGGTGAAGGAGGAGAAGGAAGGTGAGGGGAGAGAAGGGAAAAGACAATGTCAATGAGAGAGCAGAGCGGCAGAGAATCGATCAGGCCAGACCTAAGAATAACAACAACAGGTTCGGCTGAGGTCAGGTCTTAAGACTTGCAGCGTCGTCCCACTAGTTAGTCGTTACAATACGGGAATTACATTAATTAGCATGGGCCTTTCTCGAATACAACCTTCACGTCAACTCCGGTAATATCAAGTTACCTAGCGTATGGAAATAGGGGCATCAGCTTCTGTACAAGATGACCAAATATGAATTTGCTCTACGTCGAGGAGATGAGCAAACCTAGAAGTTGCAGTGAATAATATCAGTACCTCCTACTAGTACCTAAGGTCAATTTGATGTTTGTACAGGTGTTCCGGTACCCCAAACACAATACCGACTTGATGCGTATGCATTGCGTACCCGAAATGACGGCCTTTCCATTTCGGGGATCAAGCGATGCCATTTTTGTACGGGGTGAGTATCATTGGCTCGACACCGGAAAGCCAAGACTAAGTTTAATGAAACACTGATGGGAAAGTCTCACCTTCATTTAACTAGCCTTGCTTTAGTGGATCACTAGCTTTGGTTAATATATAATGCTGTCTGTCGCCCTCTCATTAGAATCGGAAGGTTCCCTAAGATCAACGGCTCATCTCCTCATCCCACTACAGATCAAGCGCATCAAAAAGCCTTGAGGGGAAATCTGGGTGCAAGGCGAAAGAGGGATTAGCAGTGAATAGCCATGCCACAACGATTCGATGAATCGGCCATTGAGGACAAAGCAACGCCTACTACTTCGTACACAACCTACCAATTTTTGAGCGACAGAAGTACTCCCAAGGTACAGTATCATCAGGCCCGTAATAATACAACGGATACCAAATGAACGACCAGAATGTTCTAGCCAATATTGCATCGGTAGGCCCCACGCGGCTTGGAATGTGTCACTTCAATCTGCCCCGCTAGAACTATTTTCAGCCTAACCCAGGATGATGGTGCAAGATTACATACCAATTTTTTTTTAAAATGGCATGTCTAAGTTAGTTCAAATTGATTACTACTCCTCTATACCACGAACCTTGGGGGATCAAAGGGAAAAAAAAAAAAAAAAGAATCCCGAGGCAGTGTTGGCGCGAGTCCGTACGACCTGATATGCATATAATAATAATAATATCTCCTGAGAGTAAGGGGCCAAACTTACTAGTGTTTGGTCTCCGCCCCCGGTTCATTACATCTATCATGCTGCAAGGTACAGAGTTCCTGGGTGAGATTATAGTTCATCTTCCCGAGGCCATTTTCACATTGTGTAACCCCATGGTTATCCAATCAATCCTGCAGTGTGACCCGGGGAAGCCGTGAATTATCAACATTATCCGAAGACGAGGTCGAAATCTTCGTAAGCGTAACCATCCAGAGATGGGGTTCAATTCCGTCTCCGATCCACACTGCTATTTTTACATACTGCCGTGGCGTGGCGTGTCTATCTCCCGTCTTGGAATACCATCTCCGGAATGGAAAATTTCGAAGAATGCAGGAGCTTCGAGCAAACCGTAGATTAACTGGGTGATTCGGCAGGCCCTAGCCCTTGGACCGAATGGTAGGCTACCACAGGAGGAACTTGGAAGAGGAGGTAGAGCTATAGAAGTAGAGCACAATTCTATTGGGCTCTCGTCCAGAGCCTGACGGAAATTCAAATGTCCTATCAACACAGCTCATGATTTTCTCGCTCTCCGGTTCGTGCCAGCTGCCAAGCTCTCTCTCTCTCTCTTTCTCTCCGACAACTCGACCGAGGACACAACTTAGGAGAGTGACAGGAAATCCAATCAAAACAAGAGGGGCCAAAACCACCCACGAAACGCTAGCCATACTATGAGGGGGTATTAAAAACGGACAAACGTTTCTCGACTGGAATTTAGAATGTCTCCAGTTCATCCGCAGCACCCTCTTCAGCTGGGATCTCAAACCCTTCCTGTCCGATAGTTAGCCCTCCCGGTCCGTACTCGTTTGAACGGGTGCACAAGTGCTTCATACCTCTGTCGAGTACAAAATGCCTTGAATGTGTTTCACCAACGAATCGTCGTCCTTCTCCAACTCGGGGTCTGCCTCAATGGCACTCTGCAGCAACAGCTCAATGTCTCGGAGCTTAGCAAAATAGAAATCCCGTTCTTTCTCCAATCCAGCAATAGCTTCCTTCTGAGTCGCGATCTCTTGCTGCAATGCAGACACGTTAGGCCCGCTTGCTGCAGCGACTCGTGGGCGAGCTGCAGCAGTGGTAGGCGTAGCGCCCCGCCGCGTGGCTCCAGCCGAGGCTGCGCCTGCGCGAGAACCGCCAGCAGCAGCAGGAGGACCACCCGAAGCCTTCCGACGAGCAACAGCATCATAATCACCACCAGGGAAGTGTTGGTCCCAGTATCTCTTCGTCCACTGCAGGAATTCAAGGTTGTCCTGCATGCGACATTTGGTAAGTTGTTCCACGGGGACTGGCTTGTCTACCTGGTGGCGAGCAAACACGTCTGTTGAAAGGCTTGTGTCAACAGGGAGGACCTTTCCCCATTCAAACGAATCCACCTAGGAACGTACTTTGAAGGACCTTGAAATTTTGAAGGTAGGCATACTCGGTATTGACGTTGAATTTCACACGGGACATGGGGACGTCCACTAGTAGGCAGGGAAGAAACTGTTAGCCCTACATAAAAAGATTATTAGGGATAAGATGGCACACTCACTAAAGATCGAGTCAAAGATTTGACAGAGAGCCGCACTACATAATATCACACATCAGCCCATTCTAGTTATATTCCACAATATGTTGGGGCCACATTCCACGTCGTTTCGGTTCCAGATTTTGCAAGGAAGTCAAGTCCGTCGCCCGTAGGAAAGCAGAATTATCCATAACGTGGAAGGGAGTTGAACGTACCCCGTTCCGCACTGCTCAACCTTCGTAAGGTTCAGCTGCAACAGGTTGTTGAGCCATGCCAGAAGCTCCTGTCTATTCGTTTCACAAGGATTAATCGCCGGTTTCCACACATAAGGGGCTTCTTCCCCAGAATTCTTTGAAAGGGGGTTTCGACGAACCTAGATTCGCCCATGGTGGGGTATACGGTCCTGGTTTTGAGTTCGGTTAGGATAGCGGGAAGAGCTCTTGGGGTACAATGAGTTAGGGGAGCGTGAGAGGAAACAAAGAAGTCGTATAGATGGGCGTTTCCACAGGAAGGCGAGAGTTTGTTCTTGGTTAGAAAATTGAGGCAAAGTAAACGTTGAGAGGATTGTTTTGTTGCTGTCGACAAAACCCACGGGACCGCCATGACGCTAAGGGGGATTTTGGCCAATCACAAGGCCCCCTGCCCCTTACCGTAGAAAAGTGTTGATTCCTCAGGCAGTTATTTGATGGATACCTGCCCAAGTACTAGGCAATTGTTGATCGACAGCATCACGATTGTAAGCCGACGAGTATACATACCATGTATCCATGTGATATCTACTATCCCAATGCATCAATATTAACTACTGCGAACCGTTTTCAGTCAGGAAGGCCGACGTGAGAAAGCAAAGCAAAAATCTTTTGAAGTATCAACGCTCTATCGCTAGCCAATGTGTATCCCAAAGAATTATATCCAAAAAGGCGCAAGAAAAGCGCAAACAGTGCAAAGCAAGCTGCCACAAGAGAAGATCCCAAATGATTAACCGTATAAACTCCCTAAAACCGGAACTTTTCCTATAATGGAGCATAAAGAGCAAATGTATGTCTAGGGTTGTGTCCCATCTATTCCTCTAGCAATTCAATGCCATCTAGTCCATAGCCAAAGTCCATGATGACAGCTCGAGAATCCTGGCTCGTGGCCAGGATGCGTCGATAGTCCGACTTCACACTCAACATCCAGCTGGTGGTCCAGCCGGGTAGGTCAATCGACAACTCCCCGGTCTGCGCGTCAAAGACCTTAACGCTCATATCATAACTTCCGCTGACGATCCGCTGTCCCGCACTGTCCAGGTGCAGAGACCGGACTAGCCCTTCGTGGCCTTTCAGCTCATTGACCATGTCACCGGTGTTTGCATCAAACTGATATATAACTTGATCGTTACCTCCGGTGAGGATAGTCCTGGCATCTTCACTAAACTCAACGCATGCAAGTCCGCGATCTTTACTGTGGAATTCCTTCACACAGTGGCCAGACGTTATGTTCCACAATTTGGCGACGCCGTCTCCGCTCGCAGAGACAATCAAATCGCCACGTAGTTGAACTGCGTTGACAGGACCCCGGTGGCCGACAAGCCTTTGAAGGAGAGTCCCAGTATGTCGATCCCACACACAGATGGTGGTATCCTTCGAGCAAGAGACAATATAACGGTCATCAAAGCACACATCCAGCACACCTGCCCGGTGGCCTTCCAGGCGGCGAATAGGTTGATAGTCATTCTGAATGTCCCAAACAATGCAGGTATAGTCAGATGACCCCGTGACCATGATCTCGTCATCGAATTGAAGGCAAAGGATGGATGCGCTATGGTACTCTGAAGCTTGTTCAACCGGAGTAGTAATCCCAGCGGAGAGCGTCGGCGGGGGGCAAATTGTTAGAAAAGGTGGCTTCCCAGATGACTGCTGGGACATGTTATTGACAGGCCCAATACCAGCGATATCTCCTGGAGGGGGTCCGATAATCTTGCGGCATGGCCAAGGATAATGTGCATCCCACACTCTGATGGTTCGATCACGGGATCCCGTAATGATTTTGTCTCTGTAGGTGGTTAGTCGATGACAACGATTTGCTTGCCAAATGACTTACTCATCAAATTGTGCACAATACACGCTGTCTTTATGTCCGTGGAGATAAATAGCAGCAGCCTTGCCTTCCTTCCATCGCTGCTCCAGCGCACGGCGAACAAGGAACATTCTCTTCCAGTCTTGGTCTGGGAGAGATTTTCCTAAACCAGCAGATTGTTTTTTCTTCGAGGTGCCGACAGGGCGACTATGTCCATAGGTGTGACGGAACACATGTCTCCAAATATGCCGGGAGGAGGCCTGCTCACTCCAAGCGCGAGAGACCGATTCGCATTGCATGAGAGATTGGGGGTCGAGATAAGTAAAAATATGTGACATGACCTCTGGTGGTAGATGAGTCACCGGATCCAAGCGCAAAAAGGCCAGATCCGTGTCAGAGAGTTCGGAGCGGTCACGCAGGTCGATACCAATACCGCTCTCCGAATCTCTCGTCAGTCCCGGGTCGGAGTACTTTGCACCATCCCTCTCGACCCTGAACAGCTCGTTCTGGACCGCAGCGGCCGCCCGAGCGGCTGCGCCTGCATAGATATCGTCCGAAATAACGGGGGGCTCCGAACCATTGCCTGGAATCGGAGCATGGACAGGCGCAGTTGGTGCATGAAAGCCGTGCAGCGCCGATACGCTGTGATGAGACAACCGGCGATCGACACCGGTACCCTTGCACCACGAATGCCTATTTCTAGGCGTAAACTCCGGCTCATGGTTCAAGTCGCCCAGGTCATCTTGATGGTGATGAGCCGAATGCCTGGAAGATTTATTCCGGATCGTGACCGATAAGCGGCGGCCGAGGGCGCGCAAGCCATCGACAGGATGACGTAGGCTTGAGAAGCTTCTCGCTTCTCGGCGCCTGGGAACAGGTTCAGGGAAATGATTCATTTCCTCCAACACCTGCCCCTCATCGACAGCTGACCCGCCACCCCATACGTCGTTTTCTAAACAGGTTGTTTGATGGGTCGACGAGGTAGCCGTCCGAGGTCGAGGTCTGAAGGAGAGGGAAGGACGTCGGCGGGAGGGAAGTGTCGCAGCCTCACGTGGTGACATGGTGTCGCGAATCGAATATAAAGAGATAATGCAGGACGATCGGAGATTCCGCAGATCGACTATATACTGACACGAGAGGGCCCCTTTCACTAACCCTGAGACACAATTTCAGGGAACAGCAAGGGACAAATGTGAGAGCGCGATGGAGTATGCAGTGAAGTTGTCCGTCGGTTCTCGACCGGGTATCCGTAACAGACAAATTATGGGGAGGTTTGAATGATGTAGGTAAGGGAAAGAGAAAAAATAAGAGGTCCGCTTAAACAAGTAAACTCCTGATAAGAAACACCGACCACCCAGAACAAACAAAGAATGAGGGAAAGGACGTCTACCACAAAAAGAGAGGACAGGACAGAAGGGGTGAGAATTTAATACAAATCAATCTAAGGAATCAGAACACAAAAGGAAAAAAGGGAAAGCTGACAAGAGAGAAAAAAAGAAATATCAGGAGAGGGAGAAAAAGGGAGAAAGCTACTTATCAGCAGGGCGGTGAGACGCCCCAAAAGAAAAGAATTTGCCCCCCCCCAGTCCGATGGGCCCCGGTGAGTGGTCGCGCATTTCCCACCGGAAGGCAAACTGATTGGGCGTCATTGGAGGCGAACAACCAAAGAAAAAAAGAAGAAAAGTTAATCAATGTCAATGTACCACACAAAGCCTTTGGATTGCCTCGGCCCCTGAATTCCCACGCTGGTGGCGGAGAGTCCTTTAATGGGGAAATGAAAATGAGAATTAAAAAAGTTTCTTTCTCAAACATTTAACCTTTTTTTTTTTTTCTGATATCTTTTCCTTTTTCTTATCTCTCTCTTTTTTTCTTGTATGTCATTCTTCTCTTTTATTTTATTTTTTTTTTATTTTCTTAACCCTCCCAATAGGTCAAAGTCAAAGTCAAAGTCAAATAGCAATGCCTTGCTTAGACAACAAAAAAAGCAAGAGTTACTATTTCGGGGCACCAACTCATTCCGACAAGTCAGCCCAACTGACCCTTCTTGGGAACAAATGCATTATATTGAGTGCATTCATAATTGTAGTATGTAACCAATGTGTCAATTGAATTAATAACATAAATAGAAGCGTGTTCTGTCTTTGATCTGTTGCATTGAAACACTCAGCGCTGGATAGACTGTATAATATAATAAGACTTCCTTTTGAAGGATACGTTAAAGATCGGCTCCATCGTGAATTTAGGCCGGTGCAAGAAATCTGCCTCCCGCCCCCGTGGGGTTTTGCAAATCTCACGATGATCCACCCGTGTCGGTCTTGGGCACCTGCGCTTTGTCCGTGTGTTTACCGATGATCGGAATCTTTCGTCGTTCCCCGAGGACTGAGGCGTCTAAGAGTAATATTAAACATAATCTCGAATAATTCTCTTTCCTAGGTGTATTTTTAGTTATAATTTTTATTTCATATGTAAATATATATATATATATTCTTGTTAACTTAGTATAGTAGGGTTGCCCCTCGAGCATGATTTTAGAATTGGGGTCTAAATAAGTCGTTTTGCAATATTTGAGAAGGATGATAGCGGAGAAAATCAGAAGGGAAACAAAGAAAATAAAAAAAAAAAAAGCCTTAGAAGAAAGTAGATAAAA